TGGGCTTTTATTTGTTTACTGTTGAAGATATTTAATGGCATGTGCATGCACTTCTAAGCACTTACAATTTGTTTATGTAACCAATTTAGTCTGTGTTGGGAACAGAAAAGTTTATTTTAAGCCTCTACTAGAGGAATATTTTTGATAACGTTGGAAAAACGGACAGATTTCAACTCTAATGTAGTAATACCCCCCCATCCCCTGCACTGCAAGGTCTACAGTCAGGCTGACTCCAGGAGTGCTTGCGCTCCTTGCTAATGAGAGCAGGTTTGTTGCAGTGAGTGTTTGCAGGTTTTAGTTATTGCCTACACTAGCTTTTTAACAACAAAGCTTTATTGACAGTTTTCGGAACAAAGAAATCAAAATAAAGCAGCAAATGCAGTGTAAACAGAGCATGGGTCACTGAATCAGTCATGCATACAACGTAAGTATCAGATTTACCTTCTGCAAGACCTGAGCATGGTCATACGCTGGTGCCAATTTTAACATTATTGCACTTTGTAAGGTAATAATGTACTGCGAGGAGACTTTGAAAAACAAGTGGAGAAATCTATGGAAAAGGCGATAACCGTGAGATCAGGTAGGAGAGGTACAAGGAAGACCAAGGAGAAAGAAAACCAGTGAAATAGATAGATGGAGACAGTCCAAAGAGAGAGGACGAGGAATACACTAAGACAAAGAAAGCAGATCAAGGAGACGGGACTTGGTTAGGGGAATTACCCAAAGAAGGTGGGGGGGGGGAGAGAAAGGTCAGGATGTCTGAAGGTTCTCATTCATCCATGTCATGGTATAGCTGTAAAAAATAAGTCAATGCAACTGGACTTGCTGTATTTTTCTTGAAGACGTATTAATGGTCATACGACCAGCTTTCTCAATTCAGAATGACTTGTACAAAAATTCTCTGGGAATAAATATGGTGAATGTTGTTCCAATCCACATAATCTGTTAGTCACAACCAGGTGTTGATTGCATTTGATTAATTGGAGTTGGGTATTAATAAGCTGCCCAGAGAGAGGTGTTAAAACAGCATTGTATGTCGCAGACAATAGATGTCGCACAGCATAGAAGAGCCAAACCCGCTGGTCAGGATTCGGAAGTGTACCTACATCTAAAGGAAAAAGGTCACTCCTTTGAAGACCGTCAAGTATGCATCCTAGACAGGGAGGAGGACTGGTTCAAAAGAGGTGTGAAAGAGGCCATTTATGTAAAAATGGAGAAGCCAAGCTTGAATGGGGGGGGGGGGGGGGGGGGGAGACATCTATTGTCTGCCACATACAATGCTGTTTTAACCCCTCTCTGGGTAGGTTATTAACACCCCATAGCTCCAATGATGCAAATGCAATCAACATCTGGATATGACTTAACAGATTATTTGGATTGGAGTGACATTCACCATATTTATTCCCAGATAATTTTTTGCACAAGTCATTCTGAATTGAGAAAGCTGGTTGGATGACAAGTGAAACGTCTTCAAGAAAGATACAGCAAGTCCAGTTGCCTTGACTTATCTTTTACAGATAAAGGTCAGGATGTCTCTGAAGTTACCAGAGAACCTAACCATCACCCAACTAGACCAATTTTTCCAGTGAAGTCTTGTCCCATGTTTTGCCTTCCGCTACAAGACCCTCCTTGTTCATTATCTGATTCAAAACAGCTGCCCATGTCGCCCAGGAGGGAGCTTCTGTAGATTTTCAGCACTTGGATATAGATAGAGATGCCAATTTTTAATGACACCCCAACGCACATGTGTTGCATCGAACCACATTGCAGGGTACACAGTGCTGTGTGTTGTGGTGCGCTGCATTAAAAAAAAACTGCTGTCTGCTTTTTTTCTTTTATTTTTGGCTCTTCTGATGCATTAATTGCATGGGCTTTCCTAATGCAATGCTCAATAATGTGTGCTAACACAATGCACCTGAACGGTAAAGTGTGACTGGACCCTTCAGGTTTCCTGCCAGGCAAGACATTATATTTCACCTTTTATTGATTCCGTGTAATCTAGGGAAGGCTCTTTTCAGGGCTTTTGCGTGTATAAAAAGTATCCGCTGTGTCCATTTGTTCTGGAAGGAATTATATCGGCATGAGACTGAGAGACTAATTCCTCCATTCTTTGATTCTTTTATAGTTCAGTGTATTCACGTGTTCCAGCGTCTCCATGGGCTGCACATACAAAAGCATCTTGAGTTTGCTTGGCAAGGGCAATTGTTCCTGGGGTCAGTGATAAGTTCAGCTCTATGGTATTTGGGATATTCTTGTTTGTGATCTTATGATTTCATTCTTTGTAAAAAAAAAAACTCTGATTCTTGGGCATCCCCACCATATCTTGAATATGTCAGCCTATTATATTGGCATCTCTAACATAGGTCACAGTTGTTGGGAAGGATTGTACTGGAGATGCTGGGGAGATCTGTACAATTCCATCAAAAGCTAATCTAATTTTTCTCAGTAAAAGTGGAAATACACCTTAAAGATTTTATTGCATGGATCATATGGAATTACCACATACACTTTAGAACATAATTTTTGCAGTATTTTGTATCTAATGGTGGTTTCATAATGAGATTTCTACTCATGTTTGCTGCTTTCTCCTTGGGAGGTTTTATAAAGTGGATATTAGGGAAGCACAAAAAGGTCAAATAAAACAACAATTTTATGAGAAATAAAGGCTTTCAGTACCATGAAGGAATGATTGCTCACCTATGTGTGATATACTGTATGGCCAAACGTTTGTAGACAACTGACCATCAGGCCTTCTATATGGCCAAAAGTATGTTGACAGTTGTGTGCTTCCAACATTGTAGCACAATCGTTTTGTGAAGGCCCTTTTTTTCTTTTTTGTTTCCCTGTGCACAAAGCCAGCTCCATAAAAATATTATTTGATTTGTTTGGTGCGGAGGAACTTGAGTTGCTTCCACGGAGCCCTGACCTCAACCCAATTGAACACCTTTGAGATGAATTGGAATGATTTTAAAGCAGGTCCTTACAAATGCTCCTATGGCCGATTAGACACTAGTTTCCTCAGAAACAAAAATCTTGTGGAAAGCCTTCCCAGAGGAGTGGGGGCCGTTATAGGGGGACCAACTTCATATTCATGGTTTTGGAATGGGATGTCCTACAAGCTCGTATAGGTGTGATGGTTGGGTGTCCACAACCACCTGGCCATATACTGTACTATGTCTGTGATTTTAATGTTTTGATTATTACATTCTGAGATAAAATAATGTGACGTGTGCATTCAGAGGTGACCTTTTACTAAGAAAATTATTAAAGTTCAACTTGTGTATCTTGGTGAGCTGACCAAACTTAGGCTGAAGGAGCTGTAAATGGATGATGACCAGTTTATGTGCTTTTCTTCTGCTTTGCTTTGTGATCCTCAGTCTGTGTCCGTCTCCATTTTACTCTTGTGTCATTCCATATTCTCTTCTCAGACTTGTTTCTCTCTGCCTCTCCTCTCACCTAGTTGTCTGCAGCTTCCAGCCCATCCAGTCAGAGTCCTCACAGAGCGCCTGGGAAGGACCCCTATCCACAGCTCTCATTACAGGATTTCTTGTAGGACCATTTAGGTATAGTCAGCTACATCTCCATGAGTCAAAGAGAACAATGGTGCCTTGTGTTTAAAAAATAAATAAATAAATCTGTGGCGTCTGTAGAAACTACATTGGAGCTTTGGTCAAAACCTAAAGTGGAAGTAGGGCTTTTGAATAATGGGGGTTGTTAAGGGGGCACAGACATGTTACTGTTTTTGTTTCTCATACAGTAGCTTCTCTAACGTGTGTTGCAGGAGGTCTTTTTCTGAGTTTGGTTTTCTATTTTTGCTTTGCCTGAAATAATCTGCTTTCTTTGGTTTAACTGAATTTTGTTTGATTTTAGTTCAAGTCAGATCCAGACATGTAATAGAAATAAATGCAAAAAATAATCTGCATGGAAGTCAAGTGCTATTAATTAAATCAGTAAGAGGCTCTGCCCCAACACATTGTCCCTCATCGGGGTTATCAAAAGATCTGAACCAAAACTGCCTGTTGCTTGAGTCATTAAAAGCCTCTGAAGCACCACTGCCTCCAATGTGAGTCATCAAAAGCCTCTGACCCAGCACTGCCTCCAATGTGAGTCATGAAAAGCCTCTGACCCAGCACTGCCTCCAATGTGAGTCATCAAAAGCCTCTAACCCAACACTGCTTCTCAATAAAAGCCTCTGGCGCAGCCCTGCATCATGTGTGTTATCATGTTTCTTCCAAGTTTTGGACGAAGCACCACCTCGCAAGTCTATGAAAGGCTCTGACCCAGGCTGCCCTTTGGCGCATATCAATGAAAGGCTCTGACTCAGCTTGCCGCCTTACGTGCGTCGGGGAAAGGCAGTGACCCATGTGCCCTCTCGCGCAAGTCTGGTAAAAGCTGATGCAACACAATTTTAAGCATGTCTGTGAAAGTCTCTGACACAGCCTGCCCATTGGACATGAAAGTGAAATGCTCTGTCCCAACCAGACCACTTGTATGTGATGGTGAAAAGCTCTGACCCAGTGCACCCTGTCACATGAGTTATGGGACAAGGCTCTGATCCAACATGCCTTCTCACGTGATTCAGAGAGGCGCTCTGACCCAGCATGGCCTCTCGCATGAATCGGTGAAAGGCTCTGACTCAGCATGGCCTCTCACATGAGACTCTGACTCAGCATGGCCTCTCACATGAGACTCTGACTCAGCATGGCCTCTCACATGAGACTCTGACTCAGCATGGCCTCTCACATGAGACTCTGACTCAGCATGGCCTCTCACATGAGACTCTGACTCAGCATGGCCTCTCACATGAGACTCTGACTCAGCATGGCCTCTCACATGAGACTCTGACTCAGCATGGCCTCTCACATGAGACTCTGACTCAGCATGGCCTCTCACATGAGACTCTGACTCAGCATGGCCTCTCACATGAGACTCTGACTCAGCATGGCCTCTCACATGAGACTCTGACTCAGCATGGCCTCTCACATGAGACTCTGACTCAGCATGGCCTCTCACATGAGACTCTGACTCAGCATGGCCTCTCACATGAGACTCTGACTCAGCATGGCCTCTCACATGAGACTCTGACTCAGCATGGCCTCTCACATGAGACTCTGACTCAGCATGGCCTCTCACATGAGACTCTGACTCAGCATGGCCTCTCACATGAGACTCTGACTCAGCATGGCCTCTCACATGAGACTCTGACTCAGCATGGCCTCTCACATGAGACTCTGACTCAGCATGGCCTCTCACATGAGACTCTGACTCAGCATGGCCTCTCACATGAGACTCTGACTCAGCATGGCCTCTCACATGAGACTCTGACTCAGCATGGCCTCTCACATGAGACTCTGACTCAGCATGGCCTCTCACATGAGACTCTGACTCAGCATGGCCTCTCACATGAGACTCTGACTCAGCATGGCCTCTCACATGAGACTCTGACTCAGCATGGCCTCTCACATGAGACTCTGACTCAGCATGGCCTCTCACATGAGACTCTGACTCAGCATGGCCTCTCACATGAGACTCTGACTCAGCATGGCCTCTCACATGAGACTCTGACTCAGCATGGCCTCTCACATGAGACTCTGACTCAGCATGGCCTCTCACATGAGACTCTGACTCAGCATGGCCTCTCACATGAGACTCTGACTCAGCATGGCCTCTCACATGAGACTCTGACTCAGCATGGCCTCTCACATGAGACTCTGACTCAGCATGGCCTCTCACATGAGACTCTGACTCAGCATGGCCTCTCACATGAGACTCTGACTCAGCATGGCCTCTCACATGAGACTCTGACTCAGCATGGCCTCTCACATGAGACTCTGACTCAGCATGGCCTCTCACATGAGACTCTGACTCAGCATGGCCTCTCACATGAGACTCTGACTCAGCATGGCCTCTCACATGAGACTCTGACTCAGCATGGCCTCTCACATGAGACTCTGACTCAGCATGGCCTCTCACATGAGACTCTGACTCAGCATGGCCTCTCACATGAGACTCTGACTCAGCATGGCCTCTCACATGAGACTCTGACTCAGCATGGCCTCTCACATGAGACTCTGACTCAGCATGGCCTCTCACATGAGACTCTGACTCAGCATGGCCTCTCACATGAGACTCTGACTCAGCATGGCCTCTCACATGAGACTCTGACTCAGCATGGCCTCTCACATGAGACTCTGACTCAGCATGGCCTCTCACATGAGACTCTGACTCAGCATGGCCTCTCACATGAATCGGTAAAAGGCTCTGACCCAGCATGGCCTCTCACATGAGACTCTGACTCAGCATGGCCTCTCACATGAATCGGTGAAAGGCTCTGACTCAGCATGGCCTCTCACATGAATCGGTGAAAGGCTCTGACCCAGCATGGCCTCTCACGTGAATCGGTGAAAAGCTCTGACCCAGCATGGCCTCTCACATGAGTTGACGATACACCCTAACACATGCAATACTGCCCCTTACTAGTTGTATTTCAGTGTTTTTATTATAACACAGAGCTGTGCATAGGGCTTTGAGTTTGCAAATCTAATCTTTAATTCTCTTCAAATACATTTAGTTTTGAACAGCTTGTATGTGGGAAATAAGGTCGCCTTCAGGTAGAAGGAATCTTTGTTACTATTTAAGTTTTCATCCTCCGTACTCATATCCCTGACTGGTAGGAATAAATGTATAATGAACCTTTGAGAAAAGAAACACGTGAGCTTTCACCATGTCATCCTGATCCTTGAACTAGTGAGTCACTGATCTGTTTCACATGACCTCCACTTATCTGTTATTTTGGAGTACATGCCAACTTTGTGATTACATTTCATCATACCTTTTATCTGAGGAGGTGAGTTGGCTGTCAGGCTAAGGAAAGTCTGATCAGAAGGTCCCGGCAATAGGAGTATTATACTCGCCTCTCCGATGGCCGGTATATCCTCCCTTACTTTTCAGCCAGCACCGCTGCCTCCTTCAGTCTCTTTAGCGCTTAACATTTCCATGAGTGTCTGGTGTCCATGTCACATTGTGCAGCCGGAGACACAGGCAACCGGATGAGGTTGCTGTGAAAAGATGGTAAGAGACCCGGGGCACCAGAGAAGTGAATATCATGCACCACCTATTGCCGGGTCCCATTACAGCTGAAAAATGTAGATGAAATACACACCAGAAACTACGACCAGAGTATTTACAGGTGAAACTCGAATAATTAGAATATCGTGCAAAAGTAATTGCAGTAATTGCTGCAAAAGGGGCCCAAACCAAGTACTGAGTACATATGCATGCTTGTACTTTTCAGAGGTCCGATATTGTTCTATGTACAATCCTTGTTTTATTGATTGCATGTAATAATCTACTTCTTTTTTGAGGTTGTGGATTTGGGGTTTTCATGAGCTGTAAGCCATAATCATCACAATTATGACAAATCACGGCTTGAATTATCTTGCTTTGCATGTAATGAGTCTATCTCGTATATTAGTTTCACCTTTTAAGTTGCATTAGTGAAATAAATGAACTTTGCACGATATTCTAATTATTCGAGCTTCACCTGTATAATATATAATACAAGGTCATCCCTGGCTTCTATCACTCTGAGCCGTGAGCTGCCTTAACAACGCGATACCCACTTATTAAAGGGAATGTATCATGGTTTTTAGGGATGCACCGATACTGTTTTTTCGGTATGGAGTATTCATATTTTGCTTTTAGTACTCGCCGATACCGGTGCTCCTGCTGGCATGGAGCCGGCGTCCCGGGCAATCGGGAAGCCAGGTAATGACATGCCGCCTGCTTCCTGATTGCCCCAGAAGCCTGCTCCATGTTTGGCTGTCTCAATTATGTTTGGCCGGAAAACCAGCTTCCCAGCCAATTGGCATCGAGCTGGCTTCCCAGCCAATCAGGAAGCTGGGCGGTGAGTAATGATTCCCCCTCCCAGCTTCCTGATTGGCGGAATTCGGCTCCATGCTGATTGGCCGGGAAGCCGTTTTCCCAGCCATTCAGCATAAAGCCGGCTTCCCGGCCAATCAGGGAGGTGGGTCATTACTCACAGCCCGGCTTCCTGATTGCCCGGCAAACCGGCTCCATGTTCCCCCTAGGGCAAATCTAGGAAATCTACCTCTGATCAGAAGTTCTGGTATTGGGGAAGATATCGGAGCATTTGGGCGAGTACTGGCATTATCGGTATTGGTGCATCACTGATGGCTTTATACATCATTTTATTTTTAATGAAATATCTAAAGCTGGGCTCTAGGCAGTTATAATAGACCTGAACGTCATCTCATGTCAGCCTCTTGCAGTCCCCGTACAGCAGTGCCGGAGTGTAGAAGGAGTACAAGTAGCACTTCAGTTCATGTGCTGATGAGAGGTAAAAGCAGAGAGCTGAGCTCATCGCTGTGCTGCTTCTCCTTTCACTGTCCAATCACAGGCTGGGCGTCCAGATCTCAGAGGAAGGCAGTTGAATGACGCTGTCTGCTATCTTGTGGCAGTTAAGTAGTCCCGCCCGCAGGGAGCAGCTCTGGATTGAGAATGATTATTGCAACAAAAGCTCTTTTCTTTATTTTGTCTTTTCTGAACTATTTTTGTCATTTTCAGTTTGAGTTCTGCATTTAACAGTTTTGGAAATGGCAGTGAACATGTTAAACCGGTAATCTATGTCTTGACCCGTCCTCTATTCCGTGCATTGACCTTCCTTGTTCTGTTTGTGTTGCAGATGCAATTCATGTAATCAGCTGGACGGGAGTTCCCTTTTTAGAAGAGGCTACGTAACAAATCCCTACTTCCAGTCAAATTCAAAGCTGCTGATAAGCTCCACACTTCCACACAAATCGGTACCAGAAAGAGCTGTTGGGGCCCCCAGCAATATAGAAGCTCTCCCTGAGAAGCCAGGGGTCGTGGGTGGGGACACAGCAGTCTTCCCCCCGTCCTGTAGCATTCTGCGGACAGTAGTTTGCAGAGAGAGAGTACTGTATTTGGCTCTGCTGTGTGAAGTGAAGGGGTACGCACATTCCCATTCCCTGGTCAGCGCATTCCCATTCCCTGGGCAGCGCATTCCCATTCCCTGGGCAGCGCATTCCCATTCCCTGGGCAGCGCATTCCCATTCCCTGGGCAGCGCATTCCCATTCCCTGGGCAGTACAAGAGAAAGAAGAAAAAAAAAATGACCACCGAAATCTTCTCATCAACCGCGCCATCATGTCCTCTCCTCCAGATTTTAGTCACGTAGGCCGTAATTGAGGGTAACACTTTCTTCCCCATCTCCACACTTGGAAATATATATATATATTCAGTTTGCAGTAGACATTCCTTATGTATTATTTGTATTTATTTATGATTATCAGTTTAACAATTAATGTATCAAACACCTTTTATGAAATATGTACGGACGGATGTATACAGTTTTTCTTTTCTCTTTTTTTTTATTTTTTTTTTAATTCTGAAAATGATTCAATACAAAGCAGTAAATATTTTAAGTCTGTATACTGCTAACGGGGGGAGGGGGGGCTGGTCAGGTATATTTCCATAGTCCCAGATCTTACAGAGAGTTTTCTTTTTTTAAAGATGGATATTTAAGAGATGAATTGTACGCTGCTTTACTTCCGATAGATATGTGCCTAGGAATCTGCAAGGTGGGGGGGAGGGGGGTCTAATTAGGCTGATCACTACATTTGAAATCACATCTAAAGGAATGAATCTTATTGCTTTGTGCTTGGCAGAATATTATTTTACATTGACACGTTAATGCATTTTTAAAAAAAAGAAAATACAAAAAAAAAGCAAGAAAACAAATGAATGTGAGGAATTGCTTTCACTGTACGATTTCCTTTTATACGAGGAGTGAGGAGTTTTAAAGGTAACTAGTCTAGTAGGGGTACCCCTGTGGGGTACACAACGCCTACGGGAGAGTTGAGCTCATGCTGGTTGTGGATTGAATTCGTTGGCTCCACTGCTGGTGACATCACTGCCCTGGAAGCAGGATGAGGCATACACAAAGCCAGGACTTCTAAGGCCGCAGGGATTGGTCTTGAGTGGGCGCTGTGTACTTCAGAAGACTGGTTCTCTTTAAATGGTCAGTACACTTGAAGCTGATGTTTTGGTTTCAGGTCGATGCTGGCACTGGTTTAAAGGAGACCTGTGCTAGGAGAACCTGGAGGCTGCCATTGCTGAGCTCCTTATGAAAATGTCAATTGCTCCGCTAAAAAGCCGGTTCCTTTGACTTCAGCCCATTCCCAGCCACTGAAGTAGAACAAGCCTGCAGCAAATGAAGTCCTAATTTACTGATCTGCATGCTTGTTCCTGGACAGTGACATTAGAACGGCATGACAGCCAGGCACCTAACATTTTAAGGGGACAGCGATTGCAGCATGCAGGTTTCTCAGCACAGGTTTCCTTTCATTTCTCTCTCAGGGATTCTAAGCATTGAGACCTTCACCAGAGTTCCCAGCTCCGCCCCCAGCCACTACATCCATTGTGAGCATGTGCCCATGGTTGGATATCTGTGGTCCACAAATGAACACTTGTGTGTTTATAGTAAAACAGTGCGAATGCAGAATGTGCTGTGTGTGGTACTGCTGGATGGTGTAGAAGTTCATTCTGCTGAAGGTCAAGGCTCCTGCTGGCTTCGGATGTCTCTTGCAGGCTACACTGGTGAGATCTTTGCCAACCTCTCGAGCTGTTCCTGCATGCCTTGGAATTTCACTCAAACATTCTCCTACTCCTCAGGTTTAACATTCAGCAAGGTAGTGAGGAGACCCTCAGGCTGCCGACCAGGGAACATGGGAGTAATCTCTCTTCTGGATTCCTCCAGAGACAGGAGGCACTTTATCTCTTCAGCATTGTTCTCATGGACTGTAGCTTTTATCAGGGCAGAGTGCACTTTTCGGCAAGCTTTGTTGAAGCCTCTAGAGACGATGTGAGTTCCAGTATAGGGATGTTAAACACAGATCTTAATGGGACCCACAAACGTCTAGTAGTGCTGAAGCTTCCGATCACTTGCTAGCAGCTTGTGTAAAGTGACAGTCCACACTCTCATTAGGATCGGTGTATCACATCTGCAAACTGAAGCTGAATGGATCTTTAAGGGCTTCAGGAAAAGCTGTTTGATGCTTTCCGGAGGCTTTGTAAAAGCACACACTGCCTATACAGGCTGAGGCTTGTGTGAACAAGGCCAAACTATTCAGCAGTGCCATACACACTTGGCATGAGCAGAGTTTTTGTGCGGTGTGAAGAAAAGGAAACGAGGACGTAACTAAATTGTACATAAAAAATTGCAGAAGAAATGCGATTGTATTTTATTGACGTTCAATGTTTCTTTTGTATGAAAGGCTCTCGGGATAAAACACCGGCCTCGACTATTCCTAAGACAGTGTGCAGCTTTTAGTTTCTGTATCTTAGTAATAGACATGATTGTTCATACCGGTCATCCAGTCTCTTTGGATACCTTTTTAGTTTACAATACAGACAGTGCAGCAGGTCGGAGCGAATCTCCCTGACTTGGCTTCATAATGGCCAAAGCTTGGAGGACATCACAGGGAACACTGGTGACTAGAGCTCCCTGCCAGAGCCCTCAAGTGGTTTAAGAAGCCCGTGTCAATGCAGAACGGCATTTCACTTTAAGGGGGACAAATATGGCAACGTCGTTGGGGAGAGCTTTTAGCAATCATTACTTCAAGTGCCATAGCATGTATTAGGTATTTTTAGTATGGAGAGCGAGGACCTGCCCTTTCTCTAGATAATCTCGCTGTAACCCATTGCTGAAGTAGGCTGGTGACACGGATCCTTTGAAAGCCCAGTCAGAGCCCTCTGTCATGCAGTGCCTTACAGCCTACGCAGACGCACACACGCAGTACCTTCACACCCAACACACACGCAGCCGCACACACACACACACACACAGTACCTTCACACCCAACACACACGCAGCCCCACACACACAGTACCTTCACACCCAACACTAAGCTCTGTCTGGCCTCTCTGTGTCCACAAGGAACTCTGGAAAACCCTGGCGCTGTTGATCAGCGCTTCTCATGTAAATAAAAAGAATAGTAAATCTTGTGGAAGGAGCATCGGAAAGGGACGTTCTAAGCATGAAAGCAATTCTGTACATGAATCGCGTACCTGCTGCATTGTCTTTGCAGATTCTATTTTTGTTTAAAATATAAATTGTATTTGGTCAGGAATTGGTGGATTTTCAAATAAAATCGGCTTCAACAGGTTTCTGAGGTGTTGTGTTCAATCTCTCTGTTGGGTCTCTTGGCCTGTTTTTCTTTCTCTTTACAAGGATTCTATAAGGATTTATGTAGAGGGGGGTTCCCTTCCAGTGGGTCTGACATTCTCATACAAGTCTATGGTAATGAAAGATCTGCTTGAAGCAGGTCAGAGGCAAGTCAACTGCAGGTGAAAATGATGCTGTCAACACAAACCCAAAGTCCATCAAGAAAGGCTCTCTCACAATGAGATCTTTATTTAAAACTTCTACTAAAGAAGTACAAAGCATGACATTGCGGACTTATTTTTAAAATGCTGGGGACTTGGTTGTCATGCGAATCCAATGGCTTCGATATGTTGAGTCACTGACCCAGAATGTTTGCAGTTCAAGAGTTCTAACTTTAGGGCTAGTTCACACCAGAACTGCATGCGTCTCTGCAGCTGCAGTGTGATGCGATTTATGCTTTTTGTGTGTGCTTAAAATGGAATTTCAGGTGTGTTCCGGTTTTTGATGCGTTGCGATCCGATGCAACTAAAATAGGGCAAGCGGCATTTTTTCTGACTGCATCGGAAGGGACTGCGCTGATGTGAACAGAGCACCAGAAATCCCATAGGAAAGCCTTGTGATGTATTTGTGGCTGCAGCAGCCAAACTCAACAGACTGCATCACAACTGCATCTGGTGTGAACTAGCCCTTACTCTGACTGTCCTGATCCAAATGTGTGTTCTGGATCAGTGTCTCCAAAAGGTATTGAAGACACCGAATTGACTAACAGGCGATGGGCATTTTCAGACAAGATCTACAAGGGAATATGGTAACTCGGTTCAGGTTTCCTTTAAAGCTGAGCACCAGACACAAACTAAAGTCATCTCTGGTAGGTGCTCCTGCAGATCTGATTATCTGTCGAGATGTGATTTCTCCATTCCACTTATGCTAGAAAACGATCATTGCCGGGAATGGGTTTTGTTGCTTATGCGTATTGCTTTGCATTTATGTCACCAGTCACATTGGAGGGATATACAAGTAATAGGCTAAAAGACTTTTCACGGAGGAAATGCTGCACCTCAGGCTCATGGTGAGTGGTAGGATCAGCCAATCTAAACTTTTGAGCCTTCCCCTCAGCAGAGATTACAATGCCTTGGCCTTTGGTCAGTTGACCATCAGTGGAGGAAGTCATGAGTAGCATTTTCTTCAGCAGCAGTAACTAGCCAAGCCTTCTGTTATCCATCTACGCAACCCTGGTAATAAAACGTAATTAGGTGTACCTTCTGTAGGGAAAAAAATTGCTAAACCAGTTAGTGGATCCAGAGACGTCGGCTGAAGTTATAGTCAGAACCATTTTCCCATCAAATCTGAGCTTGGTTCTGGCCCATTCTGCCTCCTGAGCGCCATTTTGGTCAGTGAGGTGACTCTTCACATTCAGAGCTATGGATGGATGTCAAAAGAGCGGGTCTGTCTAGTGTGTTCACCACCTCCCAAGCTGTCCCCAGCCAACGGGTCTCTTGAGCCAGATGGGGCTCCTCTCAGGTAACATTTGGACCACACCTTAAGGCCCGGTTCACACCTGGGCGTTTTGTAGCACATTCCTACGCTCTGCAAAACGCTCAAACACCGAAATCCCAATATTTCCTATGGTTATGGTTCACACCTGGGCGTATATCAGGCCGCATGAACGCGCTACAAAACGCCCTACGCCCAAAGAAGTACAGGAGCTCCGTTGGGGCGTTTTTGTTGCGCGTTTCCATTGGGATACAGCCAAGTAGCCCTCGGAAATGCGCGCTTGTCGCACGTTTTTTTACCGCGAATCGCGCATATTCGATACGCCTAGGTGTGAACCCAGCCTTAAGGCTTCCAGAACATTAACCTTACAAGCCGCATGAAGCCTGTAAACCAATACTGCAGCAAGAGCCCATGTGATCATAGCCTAAGGGACCAATAGGAAGGCTCAGAAACTGGATATTTTCATTCTGCGGCCATCCTGCCCAATGATTCTGATCAGTGGCCAGTAAGCGCACTCTCATTGGCTTAGAGGGATGGTAGTTAAAGACCAGGTACGAAGTCTAGGAAATTTGGGAAGTTTATAATTGATCACAGGTTCACTTTAAGGTTTACTTTTTCACTCACTCCATCAAAACGATTGAATCATTGAAGTTGTTGTTACTTAGCGTGGAAGTTGATAATGAGAAATTCTGAGCTACCCTGTAAGCCTTTTCCCGTCCAATAAAGATGAGATCATTCTTTGGTGCCCAGACATTTCCTTTTTATTTAAGCTGGAAGCCATCTTTCATGTATTTAGGGGCGGAATGCCTATCTCAGGAAGCAGTCCTCCAGCTGACCAACCGCTTCCCGTATCTGGCGGCTGTTCTGTCTTTGAAAGGCATTGCAGGCACAGAGACATAATAGACTTTCCTGCCATTGTAGCAGTGTGGAAGATCCATGCAGAGATACGCAGAGAAAATGTACATTTATTCTACAGAACTTGTTACATGTAGAAGAATTTCCTGTACAGATCGATGTTAAGTTGGAAACGCTGATTTTATCATCTGCGGTGTCACCGGCCATTTTAGTTTATTCTGACTGGATGGTCCTTCGCTCTGCTCAAGACTTCTGGCCTCCGCACTTGGCTTGTGGAGGGGCACGGCTTGTCCTTCGATGCTCAACAGTTTCAGCTCCAGTGGGCCAAGGTGAAGGTATTCCTGCAACACAAAAGGGGTGTTTTCAGAGCTCCCCTAAAAACTGATCTCCAGAAGTCATTAAAGTTTAGCCCAAGTTGGGTAACTTGACTATAACTCTAAGAAACAACAAAGAAAGCCGAGCACAACACCTCGTGCATTGTATGTGGATTTATGTATGACAAATTTAGTACATAGGGGTTGCGCTCACAAGAATAGCAGAGAGGAGCGCTTTCCAATAACACCATTACATCCCTTGTCAATGGACAGCTTGGAGCGATGACACCTCTAATCTTCTAGGGATCATATGGACACAAATATATTGGGGACAAAAAGACTATTTTAAAAAACTATAATTCTCCCATCTAAATCACCCATTGAGTGACGCAGGAAGTCCTAAAACTTCAGCACGTCTAAGGGCCTATTCATACAATCTCCAGTGCATTCCAGCACGGTTAGCTGCAGGAACGCACTGGATTGCATCCTGTAAGGCATCCTGCGTTCTGTGGCGAGAGGAGGTGTGTCAGTGCATTCAAGTCAATGGCATCGCAGCCACGCCTCCCTGCCCGCAGTGAAATTGCCCGCACTAGAACGCATGGCACAGTAATGCCCATGTTCCGGTCCAGTGGGATTGCAAAAAAATAGTGCTTGTATTTTTTTGTGATTACACCAGAACGAGGGCATAGCTGTGCCACGCGTTCTAGAGTGAGCAAGAGGGGGGGTGCAGCTGCGGTGCCATTGACTTGAATGCACCACCACACCCCCTCCCACCCCAGAAAGCAGGGAGCCTTACAGGATGCGGTCCAGTGCGCTCAAGCAGCTAACTGTGCTGGAACGCACTGGAGATTGTGTGCACGGCCCTTAGATGTCCTGAAGGTTTTAAGACTTCCTGCGTCACTCAATGGGTAAGAAATAAAATAGAAATTTTGTGCTGACCATAAAATCCTTTTCCTGATGTCCACTGAGAGACATAGACCCCTCCCCTCTCTGTTTGTGATTATGCTCTCAGTACTGCTTTGGTACAAAACTGAAGCATGCTGGTAGTGGAAGGGATTATACTTTGGGCTAGCTACAGTTTTATTTTGTTTGCCGGTGTCCAATCCTCCTGTAGACGGCAGTATACCTGAAGGTTTAGGACCCGTGTCCCTCAATGAGAAAAAAGAAAGTTAAGAAAATTTTCCAATTCAAAAAAGTGTTTATTATTTTTTAGCATCTAGTAAGATAATTTATGTATAATGACATCACTCATACAGCGGTATTCTGCACATAGTGCAATGATATGAAGATTCGACTTACTTTGAAATCCTTTTCGTCCTCATGTGCTAAGTGTTTCAGATCCGGAGAGAGTGGGGAATCTCTGTCCTCCTGGATGGGGAGCCATTTGTCTTCACCTAGAAGCAGAAGATTTGTGATACATATGCTGTATTCATGTTCCTCCCAAGCATGTTCCGCCTCCTTTGTCCAATCATGTGTGGCTGTGACAGCTAACTAATAAAACCAGAATGTCCCCTTAATGGCCATATACCAAGTACTATAAATGCAGGACTCCGGCTAGACTAAAAGGTCTGCTAGTTAAGAGCCAATGGCTGTAGGGAGGTTTCTCGTTCTCTTCTGCACGCCCCATCTCATGATACACACTAGAGAAATGTGGGGACTTCCATTGCAGACTCCCTCTGAACATGCTGTTGCCCTTCTGGCCTCTCTACTGGAACCTTTCTTGTCTATAATCCTATTTTACTAGCACACCTCAGTTATAGGATGGCCACTGATCCCATCCCAGGATCTTCTGGTAGGTTCTATCAGTATTGGGGCCTCTACAATCTATCAAACACACATACAGCAGCACTGATTTCCTCTCCGGCTTGATTCCCATTGTCCTTTGTGTTGCAGTGCTCGAGGTGATGCACATGAGTGGGTGTGTATGGTCTCATATAGTTAACATTTTAGGACATTAAACTGCAGAGCGTGGATGTGAACCAGCCATGTAAGAAAAAAATATTTTTGTACTCACCCTAAAATCCTTTTCTCTGCTTACATTGAAGGACAGCACCCCGCCTTTTTTGGGGTCTTTTTGTGCCTTAGTTCTACTGCTTTGTGACTGAGTTGCCTTGGATGGGGGTGTGGCCACCAGCAGGAGCTTCCCCCTGAGCCGAGCATCTTTTTTTTATTTTATACCTAGCGTCCTACTCCTGCAAGTGGCAGTATAACCCATCAGTACAGAAATCCAGATCTCCGCTGTGTCCTTCAATGAACGAAAGAGAAAATGGGATTTTTATGTTTAAAGGAGAATTATGAGGTGAGTAAAATACTCTCATCCCTATAATTCAAGCCGACCTGTGACACTGAGGTTGTCACAGGTCGGCTCTATTTATCAGGAAGTCAGCAAACACACACCGCTGATCGCTGAGTTCCCGATCTTCTCCCTGCAGAGAGTGGTGACTGTCAGTCATGGCTCCCCGCACGGATTCCCCCATCCTCCAGCGTTGACTGCAGGGATGATGGATGGGGAGGGGGGCGTGCACAGCTACCTCTAGAGAGGCAGAGCCAGCTGTCAATCAGCCAGTGGGGTGGATCCGGACCATAGTGTCAGGATCCGTCCCGGCTGTGGCGCAGCTCCGAACTGTCAGCATATAGTGGGCAATAGCTGTTGCATTGTCTTCCTCAGGCTGAAAGCTTGTTACTGGCGGGATCCCCAGGTGAAGGAGATAAAGGGGGTAAAAGCACTGATAAGCTGCAATATATAACATTTTGTTCCCGGGTTGATACACTTTTAAACCACATTCCCAATTTATTGTATATAATGGGTTCAATATTTTGCACAATGTCCATTAGTTACAAGGCTGAACTTAGGGAAGGTCCCTTCCATGGAGGGTCCAACAAGTCCCAACTTGAGGATAGTAGAACCCCAGTGTTCATCAAAGACGTATACATATATGGAAGGATCACATTTTTGGGGTAGAATTTCTCCTCATTATTTGGCTAAAGTGGGTTGCAACGCTCCTTTGGCTTTGTGGATCCATTAAAGCACGTCAGGGCAAAATGAAAAAGAAGCACGTACAGTACATCTACGCCATACATTCGCATGTCCCCTCGTTGTATCCATTGAAGACTCTGCAAGTGCGGGAGAATCCTTGTTGATGTGCAAGAAATACACTCAGATCCTCGTCTCCTCTTCTGGAATGACCCCACGTGACTTTTTTATGGCCTGAAATTGCTGTTGTCAGCCCTGCCCAGTTGTCTGCGAATCACTGAATCCCGTCCATTCTCATAAATAATCCCTACAGCCGCAGGACTCATTGAGGGGGATTTACCAAAACTGGAGCAGCTGTGTATGGCAACCAACCAATCAGCTTCTCTCTCTCATTTTCAAATCTTAACTGAACAAACTGAAGAGAGATGCTGATTGGTTGCCATGGGCAACTGCTCCAGGTTCTGTCTGCTCCAGTTTTGATAAATTCCCCTCAGTGTTTTGTAGAGCAAAATTAGAACTTTTTGCCCCCTTTGAGCAGATATAAGAAAATCCTTTTCAATGTTTAAAAGACCAAAAGGGAGCAAACAAGAGAAGTCCACTGTTGGGCTTTACATACATTTCGGTGACAAGTTGCTTTACTTATATGACAAACCTTCACCATCGGAGGTCGTGTCCAGTTTGGCCAATCTGTTCTCCAAAACTCCTGGTGGATCCAGGCCACCCGCCTGCGTAAGGAAGATATTCCTGGAAGAGATAGATGAAGAGGGGGGTAGCAGAAGTTGTGCTTCAGGTTCCCTGGCTGGATCTTATTGGGGTACATAGACCCGTGTATACTGCAAAAGGCAACAAGATGGATGACGAACCTGATCCCATATTTATTTCTTAACTCCTAAAGGCTT